GGCAAAGAATCCCTTGGTGCAATGCCTGTCTACAGGTGATAAAAAAAAACCAACAATTCACACTAAGTAATAGTAGTGGTACATTCGTGCAGCAATGGTGGCCAAAAAGTACATGACTTCAGCACAACACTAAAATAAAGGCAGCAAAATACTCCGGCTAACTTCACAAAATATTGAACAGACACCATAGGTTCTGGAGATTTAGGCCCACCATAGCCTTACAGGGCCATCATACTACTGAAGGGCGGACACCCCAAAAGCTGAAATTTCAGTGACAAATACGTACCAAAACCTGACGTGACACGGAGTCAATGAATGGTTTTCACTGTGGGCCGGAACTAATCGGAAAGCGCGCCTTAATGCCTGGCCATACCACTCATGTACACACTGAATATTCTTGCACCCATTATGGTGAGGTTTATCAAGTAATAAAGATATTAAATAACACAGGGAGATTAAGTGAAAGTGAAAATAATTAGATTCCTTATACTTACAGGCATTTGTGACAATTAACAAGGTCCCCACATGTGATTGTCAACACCGAACTTATTTAATAAATAGCGTAGGCGAGCGCTTTTGTCCCCGGTGTTAATTGGCTCGCGGTGAATGCCACAAACAGTGGTATAATCTTTCAAAACAATGACAGATTTCCTCCGCTATCGACAACTGAAAAATTTAGACAATTCCCAGCAGCTCAGTCTTTGGTTCCGAGTACGGTCTTTTGTTACAAAGCCCAGCTCTTTTGTCCAATTTTGAGCCCCCCCCCCAGTTTCGTGTATGAAGCCTTTGTGCCAGAAACTGGGTACCCCGGCATGAAGTGGTTAAGACAACAAGAGAAATGTAAATGGAAGATTCAATTTCTTTGGGTTTTATATCATGTTACAGTATATGACTACATCACTGGTGTGATCGCTCAGAACCAGTATGTGGTCCTGGGTGTCTATTTTGATGACAGCGACCGTTATATGAGTGATGAAGATTTGGAGACTGAAAAGGCAACATTCCTCTCACATGTGGTGGATGCAGCCAGGAAGAAAGAAGATGTGTATCTGAAGGTATGGTTTGCTGGGCTGGACAGGGCGGGCTGGGCTGGACAGGGCTGGGCTGGACTGGGCTGGGCTGGACAGGGCTGGGCTGGACTGGGCTGGACAGGGCGGGCTGGGCTGGACAGGGCTTCTGTAGGCTGGGCAGCATTGGCTGGCTGAGATATGGGCAGGGCACAACTGGGCTAGGCTGTACTGGGCTACATGGGCTAGGCTACGTGGGCTGGGTAGGAATATGGGTTGAGATGGTGAAATGTGGCTGGGCTTGGCTTGACTTGGCTGGGATGAGGGTTGAGCTGGGTTGATCTGGGCACTGTTGAGATGTACTGGGTTTGGTGCAAAAGTGGGCTAGGCAGGCATGGCAGGGGAGAGCACCGCTTTGCTGGGTTGCATGGGCTTGGGAGGGCAAAACAGGGCTGGGTAGGAATGTGCTACATGGGCTGGGTGCCTTGGCTGGGTGTGGTGCATAAGTAGGGTTAGGACATAGGTTAATCTGTGCTGGGCAGTGGAAGAGACAGTTGGGCTTGGCTGGCATAGATGGTACTCATCAGTAGACCATTTTATTTTGTTCATCTGCCTCTTTTTGTACCATCTGTCTGTTGGTCTCTCTGTCCATTTGTTTTGTAACACCGACTATATCTATACTTTCTCTAGATTTATCAGCCTATCGGCTGGCGCTATCTCTGTATGCACAAGCACTTTGTCCTGCACTATCTATTTGTTGATAACACGGAAGACAGGTGAGTCTACAAAGACATTTCCGATACTTGATTCAGCACCAACCCATTCCTGACCGTTGTTCCTTTTGCATGATGCACGCAGGCTGTGACCACAAACTGGGAAGTTGTGTTATGAGATCCAATTGTATTTAGGAATCCTTTTCTACTGGTTTGTTACGCCCTTCTTTTAATTGGACCATGATGTATTGTGTTTGTTTTGTCAATTTCCAAACCAGTGATGTTGCATTGCTTCTGTGTAATTGTTTTCCTGAGAACTTAAGTTTGCAATGGTGTGCTGTAGTTGGCAAGGATGGTATTTAGGTTATACATCGCTGAAAACCTCTTCTTTGACAGAATGGTTTGCACTTTCGTTCTCTGTTTTGTGCAGCGGAATGCGAAACATTCAAAGTAATAAATCATGAAAAACAACTTATTCTTCATCACTCACAATAACTTATCCCAAATTCCACAAATGCCACATTGTGTGGACCTTTCCCATGCTTAGCCATATTGGCGGTGTTTCCTTTTTGGGCAACAAAATCAAACACACTCAGTTCATAATTGTAATTGAATGGACACAACACAGTCATTGCACATTCATGACAGATTTGATGGTGATTTATTTTAACTTGTAGATGTTTACTTTTTTTTGTAACTTGTAGGCATGAATGCTTCAGCCCTGATAATCCATCCACTATCTACCAGTTTGTTTTCCTATCGTTGGAAGAGGTAGCATGACTTTTCTCTCATTATCAGTAATTATAATGATTTCAATAAAGTTAGAAATCTTGAGCTTTGAAGCTTTTCGTGGTGAAGGTAGCAAGTAAGTTGGAGGTTTGCGGTAACCATGCAAGGATATCTCTTGCGAGTAGGTGTGGTTATGACAAGAACCTGAGGGTATTTCAATGTTTCAGACAGTATGTGTGTCCATCGTCGGGAGTTAGAAAGTTGACATTGATTTTATTCCACTTTGTGTTAAATTGTGTGTGAAATGCTCTTAACTCTGTGAATTTAACAAAATTTGGGCAATTTGGGGCCATTTCGATCCAGGACCACTAATTAACTAGTGGTCGGTTTGTTACGTACCAAGTGCATGTGCATGTGCAATGAAGTTGAAGTGCCACTGACCCTAGTCAACTGTTGTCGGGTCATATAGGCCAAAGGGGAGAAAAGGTGGCCGCAGGAAGGGCAGAATTGCAAAAGTCAAAGTGAACATAGTCCTTTACTAGTGACATACTGCTTTTCCGGCATGTTTCTTATAACTGGTCCTCTCTGCACTGTGCTATTCCAACTAATTTATGGCAACCAATGACCCGACCAACCTTGTTAAGCCGGTGGCGAATAGTTGACTAGTTTAGTCTAACCGTCGTCGACTAACATGAGTTAAATGAGAGATAGTCGAACAATGGTCAACTATGGTCCTTCATCGCACTTGCCCACGGCCAGAGTCTTGGGACTATATCACAACTGTCAGATTTTTTGTTAATCGTTTCTCCACAGGCGGCTGCGCACTCCCGCGGAGGTAGACCCAAGCAATTAGGCAACATTGAGGCTACCGCCAACATGAAGCGTGTCAGTGATTATCTCAACAAAGAAATAGAGGGCGCTCTTCAAGAACACCAGGTGGTGCAAGCATATGAGCTCATCATCTGTAACGCACTCATCAGTAAGGTAAAGTAGAAACACTAATTGGATTGTCTGTGTCGGTGTTACACACCATAAAATCTTTGGATGGTTGACAGCGAACTTCAGTTTGAATAGTCAGGAGCCCAGCTTGAGAAAACCTCTGTAATGTGGGTCACATCATTAGAGCAGCAACTGTAGTCAATTATTATTAATGTTCAACCACCAGCACCCAACTGATTAATGGTTTGGACTGTCTAATTATAAATAGTTAACCATTTGGAACCAAGCCCAGAGGCATGGTTACACCGCTGGTTATTTATCAATAGCTGATTTCATTTATCAGTACAGACATATCCATTGGCATGAATGTAATTGTGCGCGATGTCATTGAGCAGTTGAGAGTTGCAGTTAATGAAAAAATGTGGCTGATGATGAAATATTGCAAAATATTTCAACTGGGGTCATTTGAGTGTGGTAGTGTGGCGCCAGAAGTCCTTGTTTGGCTACGCTTGGAAGAATCTACCAAACTATCTGAACAAAGAGGTCAGAATTCAACAGAGAAACTGCTTCTTGGTTCTATGCCCTTAAATCTTTCACAATAGACACCAGTAGCAAATCAAGTTTTTTTTCCTTACGTGATAATCATATTTACTAAGATGCCTAACGCAAATATTTATGAAGTTTTTGAAGTCAGTCATTCAACAAAATTCTATTTATGTTGAGGAAAGCTGCATATGTGCGACTTTTCTCTCATTTGTGCATTTGAGATAGTATTCTGGGTACCCGGTATGTTCCTGGAAATCTATTTCAGCAAAACAGCGATCGCTTTGGATGCTGAAATGAAAACCAGCAAGCTGTTTTTGTCGGACTAGTTCAGACTCATTCTGCCTAGCTTACTTGGATTTGAAGAACAAAACAAATTAGAAAGATCCAGTGGCCAATTTCAGAGAGCTGCTTAAGCACAAACTTTGCTTAAGTGTGAAAAAAGCTTACTTGATAAATAAGGTTACCAGCCAAAATTCCATGTGATGTTTATTGTTTTGGCGTGATATTCACCTGTCTTTTGGTTAGCATGACAATCACATACATTTTGAGCTGGTAACCTTATTTATCAAGTAAGGTTTTTTTGCACTTAAGCAAATTTTGTGCTTAAGCAGCTCTATGAAATTGGCCCCAGTTTTGTAGGGGGCAGCATCACTGTAAACGCTGCTTCATCTACCTGTTCTTGTTTGCTTTTGGTGTATTGGATAAGATTTCCTATACACATGCCCATAAAGTAGTAGCTTATGGATCATTCCACACAAAACTGGAAAATTTGGCCATGTTGTTTGAGGTCTTTGAAAATAGGCAGTGGAAATACTAAGTGGTTCAATTACCTTTTATTCCACTTTCAGTTTTATGGTCAAATTTCTTTTTGTTTGTGAATAAGCCAGTTTGCTATTCCAAAAGCACATGACTAAAACCAAGCATGTGAGAGATTATTCAGACGTGCTACCGAGGTCTGCCCCATCTGTGCGGCTCTAAACCGACTCACGTGCATGCTGTGTTCCCGAATGATATTGCTTTTTTGAAATACTGAAGTGGCTCATTACAATCATTAATGAGGTGGATAACAGCAGGACCAAGTAAAGTTCCTTTTTCACACCAAACAGTTCTAATCCAGATTCCTCCATTCAATCCTTTAGGATAAGGAGTTCATTGCCAATGCCTGGAGGGTCCTGCACAGTGTTGCCTACCAACTCAACTACATTCAGATCATCAACAGGGACCTACAGACCTTGGTCCAACATGCCTTGACCTTCCCCAAGAAGCTCGTCAGAGCTGTTCCCTCTAATCAGTCCCTGACGAAGGGGCGGGGGAACAAGACAAAGGGGGAGGCCGAACCAACCAGCCAGGTATTGCTGGGTTGACAAATGCAAAACTCATTACAAAACTAACTTATTAAAGCATGTACTAACCTGATTTAACATGGGAATATGAAGTCCTTTTAAGAAGAAATGCAAAGAATTATAGGTCACTTCCTCTAGCTTTATGAAAAAAAATTAATAGAGCAATTCAATTTTAATTGGAGTTACAGAATTTTAAGTGGCAATAGCAAAACTCAAATAGTTGGGCCCCAAAATTGTCTGGTGTGCGATTGTTTTGAAAAAAGAATCATGAACTGTCCGTCTGCAACGCTCCAAGAATTTCTTTATTCCTTTGTTTTTGTTTTTCCTTTGCAGGGCCCGTTCACTGATACAACCCTCAGCAGATTCTTCAATGCCTACTGCGATAAGCTGTCCAGTATTCTTCAAGACCCCTGTGCCTTTGTCCCCTCATCTCTGGTGGAGATGATCCAGGAGAAGTTGAAGACAGTCACTGATATCAATAACAAGACGAGCAAACATACCCTACGCATTGAGCTTGAGGTAGGGATCAAACCTTTATAAAGGTGCCTTTCTTTTTATTGTTTGTGTCAACTACTTGGCCCTTCTTTAGCACAGGACCAGACTGTCCAATAGGTGTAGTTGGTACTGTGTCTGGGCACTACAAACAATGTGATGGCCTACAAGCAATTTCAGGGCCTATGGGAATACCAAGGAGTCACAGGATATACACAGGTTTAAGTTGTAACTTCTCTCTTTGAATTTTTAATTATGGAAAGGTTCCAAACCTGCTTGTAAAGATCTTAATGAAGTTTAGTATCAACATGAAATTCAAGGCTCCTGTGCTATGAATTGGTGCTCGTGCCTAGGGCAGAATAGGGCCTACTGAACACTGGTACCCAAGACCTACA